CCTATTCTCATTTTGGTCCTTAAACCTTAAAATGTAACAATTTAGTATTTAAATTTTTAAAATGTGATAATTTAATATTTATCGTTAACTAGCTGTTAATCAACCGTTTAGTGAAATTTTAAGAAAACATAAATCTTTTTAAGTGGTTATTTAATTTTCTTTATCAACTATTTAAACATTGACAAAAAATTAACAGTCCAAAATCCTTGTCTTTTCTATTTAAGAAAGTTGGGATTACGTTTGAGTGAACATTCTAGTGATCCCAACTTTCTCGAATAAAAAAAGCAAGGATTTGAGATTGTTAATTTTTTGACAATGTTTAGATGATTAATAAAGAAAATTAGATGAAACTCGAAGAGTATTTCTCTCTTTTTCAAATATCATTTAAGAACTGGTTAACAACTAATTAACAACAGGTACTAAATTATTCTATTTTAAAAGTTCCGATACTATATTGTTATATTTTTAAGTTCGATGACTAAAATGAAACTAAACCAAAATTACAAATACTAATGGGGAATTTACCTGACCGACCTAACGAAGTGGCGGCAAGAAACTAAGAACCAGAATCATGCTTTGGCGTCCTCACGTGAGACCCCCGATCCTTCTAGAATATTCTATCTCTTTTTGCCTTATTGGATGCTAAATTGAGAAGGGACGTTTATGGTCGGTTGTTTGGCTATTGAGCTTTCTTTTCATGGTCAGAGATTAAGGTATTGGGCCTATTGGCCCCACACATGTTTAAAGAGACCAAATCCTTGATATTAGACCCAAGTCATCCAACTGAATGACGTGGTGGGCCAAGGCAAGTATTGATATTATTAATATAAGTAAAAAAAATATAAATATGTATATTTTGTGACAGGGATAGAATTAGAGATGCAATTTTCGGATTGATTTGCCCGAATTTATAGAATATAGGGATGTAAATGGATCGGATCTGGTCCAATTTGAGATCCGTTCCTATTTTATCGAATTTGCATCAGATTCAGATTACCCCTATTCGTTCTTATATATATGTTATTTATTTATTTATATTATATTTTTATAAATTTGTTATATTATTTATTTATTTATAAAAATACGTATACATAACAAAAGTAGTTGAAAAGATGTTTGTATTTTTTATTTAAATTGTTATTTTTTATTTTTTAATAAATTATTAAATTTTAAGAAAATTAAATCAGATCGGATCAGATCCAAGTATCTAACTTTTTCATTGGATTCGAATTCAAATCTATATTTATGAAATCGGATCGAATCGGCTCTTAACAATATCTGATTAAATTCGAATATACCTTGATTCGAATCCAATCGGATCCATTTACATCAATCATAGAATCCATCAATCTAACCTATGGAAAACCTGTTGATCATATCAATTGTTTGTATTGCATCAGCTTTTGAAAATCAGACCGGACATAAAACCACTTTGGCCGCTGGTTCGGTGGTTCCTGTTCCTAGGTCAAACAGTCCGATGACAGCATTGAAACCGGCCGGTTAAACGGTTTTAGAGTCTCAAATCGGATCAAATTCATGATTGATTCCCGGGTCAATTGGTCCGACCATGCAATCCCGCTCGATTTTCAAAACCATGATTCCGTCATCCAACCAGCCAGCCAGCCAGCCAGCCAGGTTTTGTTGGCTTGTTTATCCCTCTAACAATTTACTTGTAGAAGTACATTCACTTGATCAAGGATTTGTGTTGAATTGTTGACCCGTTTAATTCAATTAGTGGTTTATGGGTTAGACATTGATTATCTTGTTCTAATTCTCAATATTTTATCCATTTCTGTCTTTTTGCCTATCATATTTATATTTCTGTCTTTAATAACAGTTCTCGTTTATCATATTTATTTCGTGTAATATTATAAATTATATGTATTATAAAATGTTTTCAACTTTTATAATTTTTTGTAGTTATTATTTATATTTTATCTATGATTCTCTTTTTCTAATTCTCAATATTTTATCCATTTCTGTCTTTAATAACAATTTATATATATCATAAATATTTTCAATTTTTATAATTTTTGTAGTTATTATTTATATTTTATCTATTTTATACTTTTTATTATTGAATTTATATTTCATGCTTCCACGGGATGGTCCATATGGCCGGATGGTTAAATAAACCATCATCACGAGGGAAAAACATTTCCATTTTTGTATAATTTTTAAATAAAATACATGGGACCCACACCTCTTACGGTGGAGCCCATGAATTTATTACTGACATGGAATATTATCATTGGTTCTCCAGCATGAGGAATGGCCTTCAATTAATCAAATTAGTTAAGACTATTTAATTAATAATAATGTATCAACAAAGCATAAAAAACCAAGTACTTCAGCTTTTATGTGGTGGATGTTAAGGCTATTTATTTCATTCAAAATTCAGAAATTTTAAAGAAATAAGGGATCGCCGCATCATTCACTGCCAGGGCTGTAGTGTTGGATGAACTGCTTTGGAGAACCCACTTGAAAAGCATCATTCAAGAGCCATTTTACCAACTGAAAGGGGTAGCGTAGTTGGTGCATTGAATGAATTGTCCTAGTGGTAATGCGGTTTCGAATCCTACTATTATCAAATATAAAAACCTCACATAGATCAGATATCAGTATTGGCATTTTGAATGCAATAAACACAAGTAAATCTACTACAAGTACCTTGTCCCGAACAGCAAGTGATTCGTGACCATGACTCAATAAACTCACCTCAACACACAAACCAATCCCTTCCAAACAGGCTCTAAATGGGTTTCAGCTGTTTGGGAGGATTAAAACGTATTTAGACTATCCATATTTCCGGGTTTTTCAATTTTCACCAAACAAAACTTTTAGGTTTTAAGTATGGGCCCACTGCATGAAATCCCTCCGAAATGGGCAGATTAATGGCTGATATCAATTGTTAATAATCAAATTAATTAGCAGTTTTTAATTATTTTATTTTATTTATTTTGTGCATGCATTACAGCGTTAGCAGAGAATCTATACTACTTTAAAAGGTATGAATAACCTTTAAAAATTTCTCGAATTTTAGTTGGACAAATGTTGCCCTTTGTGTTAATGCTTTCAGATTTGAATTTGAAGGAAAATTTGATATTTTGTTGACTGTTTTAAATGAATTACTTAAGTGAATTGTAACTTAAATTTCATGGAGTGTTTAGTTTGATGTATTTATCTCTCTTTTAATTAATAATGAATTATAACTGAAATTTCATGGAGTGCTTAGTTAGATGAATTTTTATCTTTTAATTAATATTGAACAAAATCATTGGTATTTGGTCATCTTTAAAAGTAGGTTCAATTGTCATTATTTAATGATTTTAAAATGTGGATTTTGAGTGTGGCTCCACAATTTTTATTATGGTTTTGGGGTTATCTTTTCCATTGGTTTATAAGTAGTTTATGCCAAAGAATGGTCCTTATCATATAAGTTTTGAATGTGGTTCTTCTATTTACAAGGCGCCAACTGGTCTGTCAGTAAGGTCTCTTGTTGGTTATAGCAAAGAGACTTAGAATCAAATCCCACCTACACCTAGGTTGGGGGAATGGCCCCCCTATTGTGTAGTCCCCATGGAGCAAACTAAAAGAAAAAAAAAGGAAATTGCAAATCCTCTATTTCAAATGATGTTCAAATGAACATACTCTTAAAAAGATCAATAAAATTCAAATTCAATTCTTTTGAGGCCCATGAGAAGGCAAATGAGAGCAAATCAAGTATTTCCAAAAAGATCAATAAAATTCAAATCAATGACTATTATTTTTGGGAAAATCACTAAAAGGCCCTAGAGTTTTTGGAAAATCTATTAGTAGTAGTTTTCCCCTTTGTATTAATGCTTTTGTATTTGAATTTGAGAGCAAATCAAGTATTTTGTTGATTATTTAAAATGGGATCAGAATAGGGAAATTGAGCCATTCATTGTTTACTTCTTGCTGAATAGTGTAAGAGACAAAAATGAAATTCTTTTATGTTTCTTAAAAAACTACATATTGAATGGAGTATTTAGTTGGACAAATTTAACTATTCTAGGAGCTACATATTGATTTGTATATAAATTATGTTGTATATTGAATTATGTTGTTCATTTCAATCTATTCTCTCTCATTAAGTCTCATATTTAAGGTTAATTTCCATTATCTCTCATTGAATCATATATTTAATGCATTTTTGTTTATCATTATTAAATTCCACTAATTAAATTTGTGAATAACAATTTTAATAATATAAAAACTTATATATTCAAAATCGACTTAGAAACAAAACCAGATTTTAGGTATTATAAATAAGAAGAATTTTTATGAATAACGGAAATGGAAAATTTAAAACTTCCTTACCAATGAAACCATTGTCATGTTTGTTAAATGATAGAAATAAAATACAAAAATTATGAAAAAATAAAATTAATGCTTATTCCATAATTCTATCACCCTACTAAACAAATCAAATGATTCAATGATTTGATTAGCTAGGTGATCATGTTGTTGGCTAAGTCAATGATTTTTTACATATAAGCAATTTGGTGAAAATGAACCTTAAATCCTGGTCAAATAACTATTCAATTAGTCTAATTGGGTGTCTAGACAAGCAATGATTTAATTAGCACAATAAATTGAAAATATTTATATAAGTTATAGAGTAAGAAAGTTTGACACAAATCTTTAAGTTGAAAGGAAATAAATCATCAATATATATATATATATATAATTATTGTTGTTATTTTCATTTAAAATTTCCACGGTGCACATTTATTAATAAGATTAAAAGTGTAAGTAAAATGGGTTGGACAAAAAGTGTGCGTAGTACGCACGCTATTTTAATGTTTACGTGCTTACGTTCCTTAGAGCGTAATGATCTGGGAACGCGTAAGTTAGAGCGAAGCCTCTCGGAAACCGTCATATGTAGGTCAGAAACTTCTCGATTCTTGGATAAATCAAATCAGAGTGTTCCAGGTTGTCCACGATCTTTCTCTTCCATCTCTATAAATACTCTTCATTTTTCGGGAGCCGTTCAGAATCCATTCAATCAGAAATCGAGAGCAATTCTTCTTCTTAATTTGATTGATTTCATCAGAAATCTTCGAAAATCTCAGCTGTAACCGGCAAATCAGAGAGAACCCTGAAGGAAAATTATGTGTCTGGTGTTTGTTTGTGATGAGGAGGAGAGGGTGTTAGGGAGACAACCAGCTCCTGGTGCCTGTCCATATTGTGGAGGAATGGTGCAAGCCGTGGATGTGGAGAGCCAGTGGAGGTTTTGCTTTCTGCCTTTCTGCTTCAGGACCAAGAGGAAGTACTTCTGCACGGTCTGTGCCAGGCGTCTAGTTGTTTACCCATGAAAGCAGAGAGCTGATGACTTTGGGGAGAGATGAAGACAGTGGGAAGAGAAGAAGCCATGATCGGTTGATATTTGCTTGCTGAGATGGTTTCTTAAGTGGGGTTTATCAGGAAAGGCTATCGAAGAACAGAGTTGGGAATAGAAAGTAACAGATGATCTGACTCTCCGCATATTATGTTGTTATGGGGATCTTCCTTACTTTGATAAATCAAATAGATGATTTTAGAATGATAGATTGCTTTGCTAAATGCAGTTTTATCAATGAATTCATTTGGTTTCTACTTGATAAAGCTTTCTAATTCTCTAAAACTAGTCTCTGTTTCTTTCTTCTTCTTATTTTCCCTTGCTTGGCATTTTGAAGATGAAACTTCATGTCCTTACCTTAAATTGAAGGTTTTAATTAAAAGGTTCAACTGTAAGATAATTGTAAATGAATGGGTCCAGTAAGCAAAAGGGATTCGACTGTAATTAAATACTTAGTTAAACATCCAAATGTAACTTCAATAAAAACAATGTAAATGTTTACATTAATAATCACACTTCTCAGTTTACAACTTTCTGTAACTTTAAATCGATTGCATTTGAAGAAGGGTTCTTTGAAGTATTGGATGATGGGGTTTTGTTGATCATCTTCAAGCCTTTTTATTTGTCGAAGATTTCCCTTTCATCCGGCCAGCAAATACATCTGCATAATCACTATTCACCGTGAATGCTTGTTTACTTGTGTCATTGGGAAACACCGAAACAGTGTTTTTCGAATCGTTGTTGACTTGGAAGGTTGGATCTAGGGTGGCAAATGGGTGGATTGGGTTGGGTTGGGTTGGATTGGGTAAGGGTTGAATATCAACCCATCCATCCTGACCCACTAACCCACCGTGGTCCATCATGTTGTTAAAGGATCATAACCCACTCTAATTCTACCACCCATATTAACCCATTTGACTCATACTAACCCATCTACCATCACATATAAATATATAAATGGGTCGGGTTGACCTAAACAACAATTTTTTAGAGAATCAACTCTCTCGAGATTGTCAAGTGGTATAAACGGGTTAGGTCGACCCATGTACCAAAAAATAACGTTTTTGATGAAACACCTCTAAATGAGGCCACATGGTAGAAATGGGTCATGTCCGCCCGTAATATCCGAAAAATAACAACTTTTTGAGAGAAACAACTCTCATGAGATTGCCACGTGGTATAAACGGGTCAGCCCGTATAGCCTAAATAACAGAAAATACCAGAAAATGCAGAAATTAATCAGAAAAAATTGCAGAAAATTCACAAAAAATATAGAAATTGCAAAAAAATACAAGAAATTGTAGAAAAATATCAGAAAATTGCAAAACATAGCAAAAAATGCAGAAAATTGCAAAAAAAAAAACAGAGAATTGTAGAAAATGCAGGAAAATAGAAGAAAATTATAGAAAATAGCAGAAATTACAGAAAATATCAGGAAATAACAGAAAATGCAGAAAAATACCACAAAATAGCAGAAAATTGCAGAAATTACAGAAACTTACAAAAAATGCAGAAAATACCAAAAAATTGTAGAAAAATAGCATAAATTGCAGTAAATACCAGTAAATTGCAGAAAATACAAGAAAATAGCAGAAAATTACCAAAAAGTTGCAGAAAATGCAAGAAAATTCAGAAAATTCCAGGAAATTGCAGAAAATACCAGAAAATACCAAAAATAGAAAAAAATTGCAAAAAATGCAAAAAATACCAGAAAATTACAGAAAATACAGAAAACACCAGAAAATTGTAGTCAAATAGCAGAAAATTCCGAAAAATACCAGAAAATTGTAGAAAATGCAAAAAAAGTAGACAATTATAAAAAAAAAAGTGTATAACTTTTGCAGAAAAGAATTAGAAAAAATGTATCTTTCTAACATTTTGAACAAAATCTAGAAAAAAAAAACATGCAAACATACAATTTAGGTGTATGACAAAGAGAAAAAAAATAACATTTCATATTGTAAGTGTATGAGAAATAAGAGAAATAATACAGAAAATAACATTCATTATATTTACCCATGAGCAAAATTAAGTACATACTTTGACCATGCCTATAGATGCTATATATTAGAGTATGACATGGAACAATACTTTGTTCATGCCTACAATAGTTTGTTGCTAATTCAAGGATGCTCCTCTAGATGGAATAATAATTTGCTGCTTCAAGGAAACTGAAACGTATGCTTAATCATTTTAGCTAAATATCACATGAATTTCTAGGCATACAAAATTCCAGATGGCTGAACTCTGCTTTCAACCAAGAGATTATTGATTTGAGTTTTCGTTCTGTAAATACTGAGATGGTAATCAGATCCTACATTCCCGATATCTTTAGACCAAGTTTAGAAAAGCTTTGCCTTATTACGATCAGTAACCTTGAACATTTATATATTTGCTACTAAAACCAAATAAGCAATGTGGAACATGGACACAGAGACAAGTTTTAGACAAAAAATATCCATTTTTTGTCAACAAACTTACTTATTTTTCTATTTTACAAAAGCAAGTAATTAACCTATTCCTTAATTATAAACAAAATAAATAAAAGATTATGGCTTGTGCATGATTTACCCCAATTTGTAATTTTCCTTCATTATGAATCAAGGCCAATTAGTACCACACAAGTAGGAAGCTGAATCAGGAAACGATGGGTTGGTCTAGTAGATTGGTGAAAATGTTCATTTTATTAAATAATACTTTCTGAATTAGTGACAGTATACTAGCAAAACTCATGCCTTGCTATTTCTAACAGAAGAAAAACAAGAAGGAAAGTAGTAGGCCTTATTTAATTAAAAAGAACATAGATATTTTGAGGAAATATTTGAAATGTTTATTTTAGAAGCTAGATTGAGCATGATCAAGCCTTATCATGTTTGTGCTGGGTTAAAGTTATAAACCATAAGTATCAGAGTAGTTAAAAAGCTGAATTTGTTGAAGTGTGGCATTTCTGGTGTATAATGTTAATGTTATTTTAATCAAAAGAGTGAGCTTGGAAGATTAGACACATTGTGAATTGTGATCAGGGGCCATTGATGACAACTAGGGACTTTTCATAGCTACTTAGACACAGGACCTCTAACATAGTTTGGGGCCATATAACTTGCCATGTATTCCAACTTGGGGTAAGCTACTCAGGTGTCCCACCCTCCTAGAATGGAGAGTGATAGGCTCAAAAATCAGCTAACTAGAATATGATTCCAAATGAATGTTTATAGTATCAAATATTTAATTTGGATGACATAGAGAAGTTCTATCAATATTCTTTAATGTTCTGAAGATAATTCTTTATAAATGAAGTCATGTTTAAATTCAAACAGTCTGTTGAAACTTTGTTGTTCTATCCAATATTCTTTATTCATTGGAGACCATCCCATGGTGTTGATTGAAAACTTCTTTACCAAACCATATTATAATGAATAGAGCGGCGGATTTGAGGCTATAAATTATAATAATACAACTGTTATGAGCTTGGACTTGTGCAGCATAGTAGAAGATGTGACCTCCATTGCTCTAATTTAATTAACAATCAGTCAATGCCATGGACCTTAATTTAAATTTACAGAACTGATGTGGGGTTCAGTGTTGGATATTAGATAAGATTGTCATAAAACAATGACCATGTTCAATGGGCATGGGTGCATGGCAGCCTCAGAATCTAAGCTCAAACAAGTCATCGTCAATCTTAAACAAAATAAAATAAATGAAGTTATCAGGAATGGACGCTCACGTCAACCCAACTTAATTAGAACCATCACCTCTAGACAAGATATAAGGAAAAGACAAGCGACCATTAGATATTTGATAAAAGAACAAACTGAAGACATACTTGCTGGGTCGATTTGCTTTAGACTATACTATAAATCTACGGTGTTTAATAAATGAAACTCCATTACAAGCACCAAGTTAAGGGAGACATTCATTGATCCAGTCCGACAGCCTTGTAGCCATTTCGTTCTTTTCTCTGTTTTATCTTTTTCTTCCAACAATCATCCAACACAGAGAGATCCCCATGAGCCCATGACTCAACTTGCCATGAATCATCCCACCTAACCAATGGGGATCTTTCTGTGTCCACTGGAGAGTAAATATATGTTTTGGGCACTTTTGGCGCAAAATATATGCAACAGGGACAAGTTTCAGAYATGTTTCATGTTCAACYTTTTGATTGAACAATATGACTATGGGAGGCAGATAATTAATGAAGGTTGAGCAATGTCAAAAGATTTACCTATCCAAAACTCTGATGTACACGCGACTTGAGATTTGAGAACTTTGAGAAACAATGGCATTGAAGCTAAGAGGACAAACTTGTTTCAATGGCAGAGAGGACAATCTTGCTTCAATGGTGGAACAAATAACTGCAAATGGATTGAAACCCTAACACCTTTCGATCTTGCAATTGATCTAATGACTAGTGGAACAAAGAGCAAAGATCTGAAACTTAAATAATGGATTATTCTTCAATGGTGGAAGTTCATTCGGTTGAGAACTGAGAAAAACCTAGAGAAAAACCCTTCTTCGACAGTTCAACTCTTGCAGCAATTCTCTCTCGACCCTCTCCTCTTACGGTCTTACCCTCCCTCGACCCTCTCCTTATCCAAGTGACCCTAACCCCTTTTGACCCAATGGGTACCTTCGACCCAACCCACCCTGACCCTCTTTTCCTTGACCCTAATGGGTCACTTAACCCATATAACCCACTGTTGAAATGGGTGGGTTTTGAAGCGGATGGGTTGGGTGGGTCAAAAGGGTCAGGGTCAACATTGCCACCCCTAATTGGATCATTTGACTTGGGAATCATTTAGGCAACTGATTTTGTTTTACCCTTAAAGTTTTAACCCATTTTTGGGTAAAAAATCATTAATTTGGTCAGAGAACTACTGACCTGGGCGATCAAAAATGCTGACTTGGGTAGCGGTTTTCCATTTAATAAGAAAGCAGAAATGGGGACGGGCTAAGGCAAGAATGATCTCAGGTTAGAGATCACTGAGATCCAGAGAGAGAGAGAGAGATCACCGAGATCCAACTTTCCATTATCTTTTTTTCGCTGCCGATGTGTCCATTGTCATCATTGGTGAACATCAGATCTTCTTCTTCCTCCTTCCCTCTTTTGTTTTCTATTTTTTTTTCATTTCTTTCTTTCTGTTCTTTCTTGGTTGACAACCAGGCATGTTTTACTCTCTTTTCACATAAAAGACTAAAGAAAATCACATAAATATTTGCCCTAATCTAATCAAACTGCCTGAACATTCGACTCGAAGAGTTGAATGTTGGGAAATTCTAAT